ATTGTAACGTCATTTCCAGGTAGAAGATAGGCAAATATCCTTAGATATGGGGAAGAATTGATGTTTCATATAAAAGTGTGTGTTTGTAAGAGTGGGAGAGACAAATGTGACGTAATCGACACAAAGAGAGATGGAGATGGTATCGGTGTTGTCGATTCTAAAATAAATCGTTGTTTATGCGGTGATGTATCGTTGCCGGTTTCAAAATGGAGCATGAAGGGTTAGGAATACGATAAAATTTGTATATTGTGAGGGCGAAAGTGATATTATATTAATGGTATTGAATGATAAATCAGATTGAAGAAAAGATATGGCAGTTCAACACTTCAATGTGTGGTACCTCAATGTGTACAGGGAGTCTCACAGTACATAATTTAAGGAAATAAAACATGTCGGTTCGACGGGAGTGTAGCGTTTTAACGTGCGATCCCAATGAGAAACCTATATATCTGTTCAAAAGTGTCGGGGAGTTACGTGTTGTGGAGTTAACATTCGGAGGTGGAGGCAATGGGTGAGCGAAGTATTCGAAAATGACATATAAAAATACTTTGTTTTGCGTACGTTTATTCGTTATCGTTTCATCGTCATTATCGTAGCCGTTTTCGTCTCATATCTCGAAATTCATATGAGAAACATATGTGAAGTTGTAGAGATCTGATGAAAATATATGGAAATTTGATTATCCAACGTTGACATATCTTCACGTTTCATGCAAAAAATAAACACATCCGGTAATAAAAAAAATCATCGTATACTAAAAAATATGGAAATCTATTGCGGCAGTTATATCGCCAACAGAATATGCAGAAATAACTTCAGTGTAGAATCCTGCTCTGACACCTGTCGGATGTAATCCAACGCCTTTCGTGACCTGAACGAATTGTTCCTTCATATGATTTGATTTATAGCCAGTCTTCAAGTATTCCCACTGACCACGTGTGAAAAATGATCTTATTCTTAATTACTTAATGTCAGTATCTGAGAAATTTCATCCGAAAAGAGATATTTTCACCTATAAAAGAGGTTAAATATTTCGACAAATATTTAAACTCGAATCCAAACTAGTCTTTTTCAATGGAGGATACTTTGTTGAGAGTGAGTCAAATTGAATATGCATAGCTATCCATTCATATTGCAATGGCTTAATGTTATTTTGTACGCAATATCATGTTGCTAGTCAGAGTAAGTAGTAACAGCTTCAGTAGTTGATAATGATAAGTGTTTAAAAATCGATTTGAGAAATACCTGTCAACCAATTTCCAAATACGGCAACTTAATTTCTCTGTCAATTAGTTGCACATGCATCAGAAAATCATTATAATTCCTCGACATGAATCGTTTCATTTTGAAAATATCATAATTCATTACAGTAAGTCAACTGATGAAGGAAAGAGGATTGAAACTTTCTGTATTTTTCACCACTTTCGTTTGTAACTAACGTTACTGCAGTTTCGACTTATAAGGACATTTTCAAACTTATATAATGTTTGTATTAGTTTGAAAATGTCCTTATAGGACGGAACTGCAGTAACGTTAGTTACAAATACAAGTAAAAACTATAGGAAGTTTCAATTTTCTTTTCTTTATTATGATTTTCTACCACGTAGTAACGGCTACATCCATCAAATTATTGTAAGTCAACTGAATTCAAACAGATTAGTAGTGTCACGAAGCTTTCATAAGTAGATGAGTGTTATTATAGGAACATGAGTTATTGTATGGCTCTTCAATCGTTTTATAGTGGTGTCATTATAGCATGCGCTCAATTTTTCACCGTTAGGTATATTACGTTGTTTCAGAAGTTTTGTTTGTTTTGATGTCATGATGATGTTTTTGTAGCAATGATAGTATTATCAAATGTTCTGTTCGACGGTGGTTTGCGAAATTCCGTTTCGGATATTTCTGCTTCAAAGATCAGCCCGAAGTGGTCGATCTACAGTTTTCCAGAACTTATTGGAGACTGATCCATCACAAACGGTACGTGGGATAGTTGAAGAACTAGGCTTCAGCTTCCATGCAGTTTTTGATTATTTAAAACATATTTGGTGAGTCAAAGAACTCTAAAGGTAAGTGCCCCACGGTCTGAACGATCAACAGAAATCGTTAAGTTTCGAAATCTGTTTTTCTTCTTGCGCAAAAAATTCAAAATCATTTATTGAACATCAAATCGAATTCATCTCCCGGTTTGGAAGGAATGAGCGCCTTTTTCCTGAAAATGTTTGCCGAAACTCTCCATTGTCGACAATCATGTCAGTCTCTTTCGCAAAATCTCGCATCCCACAGGCATGGAAGAAGGCATCTGTCACCAGTATTTTCAAAAAAGGCGATAAACTCAATCCAATTAACTACAGGCCCATTAGTATTTTATCCGTACCTTCCAAAGTAATGAAATCCATCATCGTAGAAGATATGTCAGAATTTTTAACAAAAAACGCAATCATACCACCAGAAAAACATGGTTTCGTCAAAGGTAGATCAACCACCAGCAATCTATNCAACATACATTAAAGTAGCAGTTTCGTTCCAACAAGACGGTACTCCTTCATATCATTGAAAGGACAGGTTTCAAAATCCATGGATGATACGAAGGGGTGAAGTTGAGTGGCATATTTGGTCAACCGACTTGATTTCTTCACTTAACAAGCACCCCAAAAGGTGTCATAACGGTATGGAGATGATCTGTATCGTGAAATGTAAGTTGGCAAAAAATATTCCAGCACCTATTTGATTGGGTACGATGGGATTTTCAAGTGTAGTCAAACCTTTATTTGCATTTTTTGAAAAATGTATTGTTGACAAGTGGAGCAGAAATGAATTAGAAATTCGAAGCATTGAATAGAACTGGCCGGTACTTGATGTAAATCCATAATAAAACTGATTAATACAGTTTGTTGCATGATTTTCAGCTATAATATCCCAAGGACATTGATAACTAACGAAATAATTTTATCACAGTTTTCGAAAGCACGTTATTTGGTAACATCCCGACGCCGAAGGCGGAGGGATGTTACCTAAAATAACGTGCTTGAGGAAGTTGTGATAAAATTATGNCATAAATATTTTCCAAGTGTATTTTTTACTATTGACAGTATTTTTTGGTGTATTTTCTTCAATGATTTTGTCAATTGCCGCATCATTTTGAACACCAAAGCGAGGAAGTGACATTTTCGAAATAAATTGAATTACTGAAATGTCAAACAACTTTATTGTGTTGGTTGCTTAGCAATGTCATGACATAAGTGATAACTACCCGTGAAAACTATCCATGGGTAGTTATCAGTGTAATGATGGTTTCATTGGTTATGACAACACACATGACTAGAAATAGACAAATTTGATAGGATAATATTTTTGGCAAAAAATTTTCACTATAAAAAGTTTTACAAAAACCGCGACTCGTGTTTCGCTATACAAAAGCTCCCTCAAGCGTAAACTGTTTACGCTTGAGGAAGTTTTTGTATAGCGAAATAAGTGTCGCGGTTTTTGTAAAACCCTTCACAGTGAAAATCATACAATACCTGCATTAATTAGTTTTGAATTCGAAGCAGTTCACTATGGAATATCATTCAATCTTAATTCTTTCAAAGATTATACTAGCCAACAAATAAGAAAAAAAAAATGCGACTAATATTATAATGGTTATAGATGAGAGTTTGAAGCATCGTAACTGCGTCTTCAACATCAAAAAATTTCACATATTATAGGGGAATATAAGATCAAAACAAGAAAAAAAATTGAGGATAACAGACTTTATTTACAATACACATGAAAAAACATTCAAATAAACTTTTGTGCATAACCTTTTTGATCTTTTCCATCATTTTTCCTCATCAGGAACCAACAATAATCCCCATCATCGCTGCATCTCATCTGCAAAACGTTTTTGGGATTAACAAGAGGTATATTCTTCACGTTAGCTTGACCTGGAATATATTTATTTCTTGGAGGCCATTCTTTTACTTGATAATGGCTCTGTGTTGCCTTACTGTTCCAGAGGCAGAGAAAACGAAAGCGAAACTTCGTAAATCCGCCCTGAAGGCCTAGTAATAGTCCTATGACTTTTAGGTCACCACATATTTGCCACTTATACGTATTATAACTTATCGCGTTTAGAATAACTGACATACTTTCTTGTGTTTCCTTCATAGCAACTGCATGTGGAAATGAATACAGGGAATACAAGTTCAAAAGCAGAACGGCTTTTAAACTTGTTTCAGACGAATCTATAAATAAACTACATTCGTCCGGGTTATGTGCAAATCCTAATTTTTCTATCACACCATTTGGATTTACACGAACATACATTTTATCCTGCATAGTAAGAAACGAGGATAGCTCATGGTTACGGTTCCTAAATATTGTAACTTTGGTTTTAGGGGCTAGTAAATTCCATTGTTGTAATCGATACCCTAATAGATCAGCATTCTCTTTGGACAAGTGGAGGTCCCGAACTAGGTTATTCAATTCAGGTTGTTCGATTACTTCGACTCTATACAGAAAACTGATACCTAGAGAGATTCTTCATTTATTAGATGTAATAAACGAATATCATTTGTATGTACATCATTCTTCAGCCCTGTTACAGAACTCTCTCACATAATTAGTCTTCAAAATTCATCATTCATTTCTCATTCATAAGCTGAATATAAGTTGAAACGCTATTTGAGAATCAATTTTCTTCAACAGCCAGAAAAAAATATATAATAAACCCGTCCCTTATAAATTATTTACTATTTCATAGGTTTTGATAATTGCTGTATTATAGATGACTACTTCGTGTACATATTTTGTTTTTTAATGGGAATGCTTTTGTAATACATTATTATTCAATTGTACAACTTAGGTTGAGTGTAAGAATAGCCTCAGGCTAAACTTTGCTTATTTCATGTACAGAAAGGAAATAAAGAGGATATATAATCATTATTATTATAATTATAGTGAAACATGTGTCACACTTTTGAGAAATGTTGAGTGAAATTCTCACAATAAAATGTTAGTCGAATACATTATATTGTATTTCCATCAAGTATCTGCCAAATTTTTCAGTAAGAACTCAATAACACAAAGGTATTTTAGTGACTTTCAAAGAAACAGTAACAATCGAAGAAACAAAATCATTTATTTTTCATGACGAACACTTCATGAACAACAGTCTAACCTAGAAAAATTGATGACTCATTAAAGTTGAAAAAATGTAATGGAAAAATAATAACAATGAGAGGTAAAAACAAACAAATCTTCTCCTTGTTGAATGACAATGTTTCAGAAAAATTTACTGAATATATCTTAAGAAATTTATCAAAAACATCACCAACATGAACAACTGAAAGTATTTTAATTTTTCAATAATTCGACTATGGGATCAAGTAATATGTTTCGTAATGACGATGGTTTTTTCCAGACAATGATAAAATTAACTGCAATATTTGAATATATCTTTCTGTTCAATCTAAGCGAGCGAAATGATTTTCTACAACTTTTTTGAAACTGTCGATGTTCTACCAAACAATACCACAGAAACAAGAGAAAAGGAATCAGAATATCCATCACTTCGAGTTGTTTGGAATTTTCGTATCTGCATTAATTAAAGTCTAGGTTGACGATTGTAATCATTGACGGTACATTCCTTCGAACGCAGGCCCGCGAACGCCATGATGATTCCAATGATGAAATTGATGATGGAAAGCTTCATCATAGTTATTTCTCTTGTTTCCTGACTGATGAATCTGACCTAAACCATTTGATGGGTTTTTAACTCCCCAGTGCGTGTGATGACCTTGTCCCGAAAACCTGTTACCCTGACCGGAACCATCCGCTCCGTTTCTGTTTCCTATGTCACTCGCAGTCAACCACTTTCCTTTAATAAAGTCCACTCCTCGCTCCGCCATCATCACTATAGTGGCGTGAGTGTTTCCTGATACCAGTATGGGCATCGCTGAAGCGTCGGTTATTCTGAGGCCTTCGATTCCGTGAACCCTCAGTTTATTGTCAACAACGGCCATTGGATCTGAAGAAGGACCCATTTTACAAGAGCAGGCCTGATGATTTTCTGGACCGGTATAATATCGCACTGCACACTGCCAGAAGTTGTCCGTGTCATACCTAAAATCAGTTTCATTGCTATTATTCTGCGAAAATAATGTCAAAATCATAATATTCTCGTCACTCAAAAAACTTGTTGGAATTTCATTCATTCACATCTCATCTATGACTCATAAAACATAGTTTTTGATCGTGTTACTTCATAAGAACAATACGAGAATCAATTCCATTACTTGATTTGCGAGGTAGAGTATATGAGAATGTAGTAAATTTCCACCTGTTTAATTCAGTATATTGTAGCAATCCTGTGACTAATATCTGTTTCAATTCTATATCGAATTTTTGAAATACAAACTGAATAGAGAAATATTTGCGGCATTCTTCAGAAGAAATAATGTGGAAGTGGCGTTCAGACCACATGTCAGGTGATCTAATTTCCTTCCTAATGCCAAGCTGAGGTATGCTGAGCATGGAAGGTCCTTCAGACTAGGTGAAAATGATTAAACGTTCCATTTCTTGCAATGCAATCACAATTTCCCGATTGTAAACGATACCAAAATTTTGCACTACGCAAGCAAGGATTGGAAACTCAATCATTTAAAAACTTCGGAAATTCATAAGCATTGAACAGACCTCGTACACTTCTTGAAAATCGAAACGGCTTCCTCACTACTCTCTCGTTAAAACTACTCAGTCTTTGGGAGAAAATCTCAAGATGTAACAAGCAATAAAAAGCACCATTGAGATTTTCTGAGACAACATTTCCTCTCTGAACTGTACATGCCACTCAGCTGAAACTGGAAACATATGTTTGAGACCAGTGTACCAACATGAAAAAATGTACTTATCCCACGAAATCTGAACAATCATCTTGTTTTTTAACAGACCCCGTATACTCTTTCAGATATATGTTCGTTTATTTGATTTCAATACTCGGAAGACGCAATATTTCACCTCTAGAAGAGTTTTGCAATCCTAGTCTTTGAGGGCAGAGCTTGTTTTAAATACGTTTTACGGTTCCAGTTGTGAATTATCTTCAAAACTTCTGATACTTGGTGTCTACGTGGTAGAAAATCATAATGAAGAAAAAGGGAATTGAAAATGTTTATGTTTTTTACCACTTTTATTCGTAATTAACGTTACTGACATTTTCAAACTCAAGGGCATTTTCAAACTTATACATAAATGTATAAGTTTGATGCATTTTCAAAAGTAAACAATATACATAAATGTATAAGTTTAAAGTAGAAGTTTGGAAATGACCTTATAGGACGAAACTGCAGTAACGTTAGTTACAAATAAAAGTGGTGAAAACATAGAAAGTGAATAATTTCAGATGATACGAAATATTTATTACTTTTTAGAATTTCGTTATCTTTCACCGAATCGGATTGTTTTTTGTAAAAGCTTCTCGATTTTTATCTGTTCAATAGGGAAGAATTTCTACCGACTATGACGCTATTCAAACTAAAAACAGTGGATCCAAATAGCTGAATATGAAACAATTTTCGTTTTTGGATTTGATGTGTTTTGAATCATTGACCATTCGTGAGAGAATTATTTTTAGTGTGATTATTATACATAAATACATTAAAATATTCGAGTGACGTATTGCTGAGACAATTTTGAAAAAAAAAGTCTATATGAACTTGTGTCCCAAAATGCTTCGTTTCGGAGATACGGGGTGTTGAAATTTAATTTTATTGTTTGCTTTTTGAAAATAACTCTTGCAAAAAAATTGGTACCCGGGTTTTTTTTCATGTGAAAAATCATAATTTCGTAATAATTTTCATGAGGGCGCTGCGTCACATGAAAGTTCAAAGGATTTTAAAGAAACAGCAATTATATCCTTTTCATATTCAGCGTGTCCAGGCACTTCCGCTACGTGATTTCCAACCACGCACCGAATTTGCTCAATGGCTGCAAAGAAAAGTCGAACAACATCCGCAAATTTTATAATTTCATCGAGAATCGTCTTCACAGATGAGGCTAATTTTTTAAGAAATGTTATCATGAACTTCCATAACAACCACATCTGGGCCGAAGATAACCCACATGCGATAACGGAAACTCATTTCCAAGACAGATTCTCTTTTAAAGTATGGGTAGGCATAATTGGGGATTACTTAATTGGGCCCTATTTTCTTCACTTACCTTTGAATTGAGATGCTCACCTACATTTTTTGGAACACGAGCTTCCCCAATTTATGGAAGATGTTCCCATTGGTGTCCGAAATCGCTCTTGGTTTATGCACGGTGGAGCTCCAGCTCATTTACGTGTGATAGCAGGAAATTTTTCAGACGCAGCATATCCCCAACGATGGATAGGAAGAGGAGGCATTGAGCATTGACCCCCGAGGTCACCGGACCTCCACACACTCCGGGCATTTGTCAACGGGTGCGGAATTCTTTGATGAGGAGAGCAGAAGCTTGTAATACTGTTGGGGGTCGTCACTTACAGTTGTTGTAATAGTAGTTTCGTTCAATTTCTTTGTTTATTTGCCTAATAAATAACATAGTACTTCTCCGAATTGTTTTTTTTACAAACTCCGAAATGTAGCACTTTCTAATTGAATAATTAAACCTGAAATTTTTTTTCATTTGGATTGAATAAGCAGTTCGATAATGCTCAGTTTAGAAGAAGTCTGTACGGGTATACTGCGTATAAAGTTTGATGAAAATAACTAAAATTGCAAAAAACTTATGACAAAAACCTACCATGTTTTGAAAAAATTCAACAACCTGTATTTCGAAAACAAATCATTTTTTGTTAAACATTTTATAGGATATGTAAATATCTTGAAAACGATCACCTTCAGCGTTGTTGAGGAGGTGTACCTTTTTTACTTGGAAAAGGTGTGGGAATCAGGTTTTTTATGATAAGTACCAAAAGTTTACTGTCAATAAATAATAACAGCGTACACAGCGTCCTCTAGATGTTACATGAAAATTAATACGAAATTATGATTTCCCACGTCAAAAACACCCCTGGTACCCGGGAAAAAAATAATTTCAACACCACGTATCTCCGAAATGAAGCATTTGCGGAAGTTTATAAATACTTTTTTTGTTAAAATTGTCTCAGGAATACTTCATTTGAATATTTTAACGTTACACCCAGTAGACATGTGAAACCGATAAAAACAGATGAAATAAATTACTTTCGCTCACAATAATACATATTTTTATCATCTGGAATAGTTTTGATACATCCGATAGATGTCGTACCCGGGCGATACTCAATTGGAAGTAAAACTGAAACTTCTGGCATATAATGAATCTGAAACCCGCAGTTTTCGCAATCACCGGGAAGAAACTGAAGGAAAAGTCACCGCCGTAACAGAAAAAATTTTGCCGTTCTGGTTGTGAGGAGTGCATGTTATGGAATTATAATTTGGTCTTATTGTGTTTTGAGTGCAGTTGATGAGCGATGTGTAACTCATGTACAGAGTGATCAGTTCTTATATTTTGATAATTCAATATCAACAAGCATTCAGATTTGCTCACCTCCGAAATTGTTCGAATGAATCTCACTTTACGATTTTATTGTTTGTATTATAATCAATCGGGTCTATTTATTTCAGTTTTATTTTTCAAATATATTTCTTATTGGAAATACAGTAGAATTATCTATATTGTCCCCAACCTTTTTTTCATTGTATATCAACGACTTAAAACTTAAAAAATTCCAATATATTGATTTGCTGACGACAGCACACTTGTCCAGTAATTCTATTCGGAATCCAGGAAATCGGCTGCGGATGCATATCTTCACCGGCAGTAGAAGGTTGCATATCTTGATGAGGATCTAGAGGTGATTTCGAATTCGGGTGGAAGTAACTAGGTTCAATTCAATGCCACAAAAATCCAGGCATCGATTTTCTTCAAAAATTTAAAAAAGTACACCTCACGATTTGATCTCCACAAACTTCATTTGAAACATATATCACAACATGTTTCGCTAGCACAGTAGCTTTCTCAAGTCTGAGGTGTATCGTGAGATGTAGTTTTTGAAATTACTATGGATCTTCATCAAGTAACAGCCGAATCAATCAGAATTTTCTTTAAAAAGATTAATGTCTCTGAACCGGATATAATGATGTCAGGATAGACAGTTTCGCTTTCTGCTTCGATAANATAGGTGAAGAAAACTGAGAAACAAACAATAACAACTATTTCAACCTAGCGAGGAATTTCGGATCTCCAACGTCGATTGGCAATAGGAGAATGCGTAAGTACTGGTCAAAGCAGTTAGTCAGGGAGCATACATTTATTCTTATACATTTCAGGTATGGTTTTCTATGGAACGGAAGATTCCCATTACTATGATGTTAAATGAATAAAATCTACTTGTAACTTAATTACATTGTTAATATCCTTTGAATAAAGATCTTAAAAGGTAACGTAGTGTTTTGAAAGGTCACATAAGAGCAGTTTGATCTAGTGCTAAATTGAAACGTAACAAATTTTATATACCCTCTTCAAGGGGCTGTATCTTAACAAGGAATGCTCCAATGAAGTTTCTTTATATGAAAGATCCAATCTTTTTTTCGATGAGGAATCACCTCCTCAAATGTTTTACACTTATTCAGTTACACCCTGTATAAAGCTCATGTCAGACCTTCTTTGCAGTTTTGGTCCGCTCCGCCCCTAAACATACCCTGATGGTGCTGTATTCCATCTAGAAAAGAGGCATTCGCCTGATTGGATACACGAACACCACTTGCAATTTTGCTTGCCTGGAACATCGAAGAAATTCCACCAAGAACAGAATATATCAGAAATACCCAACGAACTGTGGCTGCTCATCGTTCTGAAGTTCAACTCAGTATACCTCGAACTCCACTGTTTGAGAACTCTTTCATTCGGAGAACTTCGTTTATGTGGAATAAACTTCCCGAGGATGTTTTTTCAAATTGAATTAATCTTCAGCGATTCAAATCCGAAGTGAATCGCTACTTACGCATAGGCACCGTTTTTAGAGCGCCTCAGAAATCCTATCCGTGAATTACTTACTTCAGAATTTTTTTTCCCAATTTTGAAATATTTAAAATTGAAGGAACTATCCAGTATCATTATTATATTATAGATGATATACATACCCATATTTTTTCGAACAATCTCCATAATCTTTCCTTGGCAGTTCAATTCCATATTTTTCTTTCAGTACAGATGAGTTTGCAAGCCTCTGTGTTACTCTAATTCCAGCCACCAAAACGTCCACATCTGCCTGTTCCGTTAGATAGTTCGCCACCATCACAGGAGGCTTGAGAGGGTCTTTCGAACGTAATCCTACATATCCTTTGCTCTTTGGATGAAGGGTCACTGGAGATACAGTAAGAACTTTAGGATTTTTTGGGTGTTCTGGATCTTCCAGTGCTCTGACTTCGCCTGATTGTGCACATTTTGCCAAGAAACCTGCGAAAAATATCTGAAGATCTGGATTTGTTCCGCTTGGGTCTGCGTACTTGGAGTTGATTCGTGCGGTCACTTGTGACATGCCTGAAAGTATGAAATGAAATGTGAACTAGATATATGAAATCATGTAGGAAGGACAAGATCACGATTTTCAACAGTCTCTTACATCTACGAGTACACTCGTATTGTGTTTACTCTACATCTCTATATCTCTACATAATCAATGGATTTGTTTTGAGTCTTTCATAATGCACAGTGTGATCAAAAATACACTGCAGGACAGAACAGCCAGAGAAAAATGTTTTTGCTTGTGAAGGAAACAACTTTCGTAAAATCATTGCAAAACTTCAAGTGGGGGTGTTGCACCCCATGATACCCTTCAATTGAAATGATCTGGTTGGGAAAGGCTTCTATTTTCCCATGCTGCTTTGATTTTGAGAAGGAGTCTATCTATTCAAGACATATGGAGAGCATCACGGTTTCCAGAAATTGCAAAAGTCGGATTAATTCCAAATGGAAATCTATCCTATTGAAGGTCAACCCTTCTGGAACAGTTTATAACATCAGCTCTTCAGCAAGATTCCAGGAAATGATTGAACTTCATTTAACAAATAGCGAATGTGGTATAAGTCTGCACAAATTGCCTTGGAAGTAAATCGGTACCAAATAAAAAGAGGCAGGAGAAAGATACAATTTTTTTCAAAGCTATAGAGCTAATATCTTTGGAACAAATCGCAATTCCACATGACTGAAATTCAATCAGTGCCAGAACTGAATGTAGAAATTAGGAGCAAAAGAATGATTTAAAATGATAATTTCCTATTCAATGTGAGCTTTTTGATGAGTGTACNTTTACACCACGGAAATTCCATTGTTGTAATCGATACCCTAATAGATCAGCATTCTCTTTGGACAAGTGGAGGTCCCGAACTAGGTTATTCAATTCAGGTTGTTCGATTAAATGGGGTGATTTTCCTTCTCTCTAGGAAAAATAAAGACTGTCTTTTTCTGAAACGTCATGAGGACCTGCCTGGTCATCATACATTTCCAAATCTTTCTCCCAGTTTGCCGGAGGTATTGGAACTGGTAAACCTTCTTCATGAAGAAGGAATATCCGAATATACAATTTTGTGTTTGCTCTTTCTTGAAAAACCAGACACGTTTGTCATGCAGAAGTAACAGTCATTGTAATGATTTCTTGTTTCTCGCCAAATCGTTGGAACTGCGAAAGGTATAGCAGAGAGCCATTTAACCAGTCCTTAGATTTGTTGTACAGGTTTGGCAACATACGTGAGGAGACCAATTCCGATCTTGATCACCAACACCACATCCAAAATACTTATGGCAAGCTACTTTGGTCATTTGATTGATGGGCCGTTTCTGCTATTTAGGAGTAAACTGACCTCATATTTAGCAAAAACTATCTGCGGGATTAACGCACCCACATTTCTGTCCTTTGGAAATTTTTGTACTGTTGCGTACGTCGAGTTCAACTATGTGATACTGCATTTACAGGAGTCAACTTATTTTATTCACAAAGATAACACTAATATAATACTCTCGATATTGGAATGTCGTGTTCATTAAATATTTGTGAAAAAAATCATTACTCAAAAATCTTACGTGTTAGGAAATTTTTACTATCATTTTCGCATTTAGGGACCTGAAATTAACAAAGAACTGCCTTTGGAATTACAGTCGTAAATTGGCTGTAAACTAGTGTTATTGTTTTCGCATTATAAAAAAAGTTATTCCTTTAGCAATTATTCTTTGTGATTTGATGACCCACATTTTGTGTTCGTATTTTATGAAGAAAAATTTCTACACTCTTATGAAATATCTATTGGTTGAGAGGAGCAAAAAATATCAGGTTCGTAGCAGATGGCGATATAATGATAGGATATTGGGAAAATGTTTATGTTTGTTTCTGGTTTTTAGTTTTCTTCGATAATATTATGAAAAACCTCGTTAATCCTCAGCTCGTACAAGTTTCGACTTCTGAGGGTTGTCGTTCGTAGGGGTGCGACAGCTGGTTAACGGAAAAACAGATTTTAAACAGATTTTTTTAAAATGTAACAGACATAATTGAATTAGAATGTAGTTTGTTTGGAAATGTTCAAGAATGTTTCATGGTGAATTTTACTAGTTCGTATTTTGAATGTTTTATATGACTTGAGTTGATAATATTCAAAAGCCGGAAAATGATAAGGATTCGCCGATATTTCGTTCATATTCAAAAAAAACGTGGTTGGATTCGAATGAGACTTCTAATTATTTTACAAAACAACAGAAAAATGAATATTTTCTACTTATTGATTTGAAAAAGTAACATTTTCATGTCGATATTCGTTGAAAAGGTTCACCTTTCTTTGTCCTATGTTTCAATCATTTCAACAAAATATAATTATATTTTTTCACATCGTGTATGAGTAGTAATCTATATGAAGAGTATCGATCACGTTTTCATTTTCAAATCACATGTACGTTTGATGCGTATGGTAGCTGGTAAATTCCAGTTCTCCACGTTTTTCCAACGACACATACAAGACGTCAGATCTATCATTTGGGGTCATAAAGCCACATTCTCAAGTTATGCTGTTTCTAGTCAATGAAAGGAAAATGTATAAAAAATCAATTTCTTCTCACCTGTTGAAGACATTGGGCCTTTCCTATTCAAAATATANTTCTTCTTTCGTGTAATTCAGTATTTATATGAAAGTAGCTGTTTCAGAAGGGCCTTTTCTTCCAGTTTGTGTCTGAAAGTTACTTCTTTGAATGATCTACACCTCTATCTATAGAGTAACTACTTTTGAAATTGATTACATTCTTTCTTTCTTCGGAAGATTTCCATTAACTCTTTTGTATCAAGATGGAGTAGTAGGAAGCCAAAAACTTTCTTTCCTGAAAATTAATCACTCCAAAAAATATAATCCTTTCAATATCATTCTTCATTATTTCGAAAACAGTATTCCCCAACACAGGACTATCCAGTATATTTATGCATGCATGCACACTCAGAACTGGAAAATTACCTGGAACTAATCAATAACCCAGCAATAATCTTCAAACTCAGATTCACCCAGATTGTTTTTTTTACTCACACAATTTCTGCGCTCGTGATATTTTCATACCAAACATTTCAACAGTCAATAATCTGATGCAAGCTCTACGAGTTTCACTGGAAAGCGAGCAGTTGTTATAGTTTTCAATACCAATCTGTTTCGGTTCAGGTCACGCTGTTTTTATATTTTGCATTGTAGCTGAAGCACATCATTCAATATGCTTTTCCAAAATTAAAACAACTACCTTTATACGTATCCTGCACAAGTATATAAAATGAGTATGAAAATATTATCAAAAAATATAGAAAGGTGCTGATGAGAAAACACAGACAAGTATTTTATTCCGGAACTTCGAAGTCAATAAGGTAGGTTTCCATGTTAGTGAAATTTTGTATCGATACTCGTTGAATATTTTGTTGTGTGGTGTTTCAGTGATTGTTGCATGTTTCTCTATTGGAAATGTTTAGTGTACTAACTGAAAGAAAAAAGTGATTTTCGTGTTTTTCAATGTTTATGAATTTGAAACGGATTGCTTCTTGATCGATACATCTTCCGTGGATAGTTTTCAGAACAGTTACTTTCTTCTTCACTTTTTACGAAAGATTTTTTTTAAAAACTAATCTCTCTTTGGAATACTCTGATATACAGGGTGTATCTAAATAAGTATAAAACATTCGAGAAGGTGATTCCTCATCGAAAAAAAGATAGGATCTTTCATATAAAGAAGTTTCATTGGGGCATACCTTGTTAAGATTCAGCCCTTCAAAGGGGATACATAAAATTTGTATAACAATTTNCGTCAGGTTAATTTCAATATTGTAACTTTTTTAGTGCTTGTGAAAAAAATTGTTATACAAATTTTATGTACCCCCTTCAAGGTGCTGTATCTTAACAAGGGATGCGCCAATGAAGTTTCTTTATATGAAAGATCTTATCTTTTTTTCGATGAGGAATCACCCCCTTAAATGTTTTACACTTATTCAGTTACACCCTGTATTTCCCGAAAGAAATGTTAATCATTATTTAGAGTGATTTTTACTTATCTTTGTAACAGTTTTTATTTTATTAGGAATGGATGAGGTGAATGAGCTTGAACGCTAAAATTGTAACAGAAAATATTAATACATGACAAATATAGCTTATCATCACCTAACTTTCATTTCATATATTCATTCTGAGTGTAATTCAGGAATGATTTTCTGACACTTCAAACAAAGCAATAATATTATTTCACAAAAAAGAAGAGTCAAATGTTATTATTGTGCACTTTTACTGAACTATATGAACTATACAGAAAGTAACAGAATAATTGAACACCTGAAAACATCAGGTTATCGAGTACGAATAGCGTGACTCACGAAAGAGCAGATAATCGAGACCACTATTTTGTCATCCAATATATCCCATATTTAATGAGTTTGACAGTTAATAGTATGTCATGAGTTTTTAGGTGTTAAACTATCCGATTGGAAGTTTGCATAGAAACTGAATTTCAAATCAAATATATAGAAGGAAAATATGACGGTAATTTTCAATGTATGGAAATTATTTACATTTGTGATTTACACCACGGATATATCTAACCCAACTTTTAGCAACTTATAAATATTAGCGATGCACTGTTTAGAACCTTTGATGTAATAATTAATATTAATGGAGTTTTATACCAACACCAAACCGTAATTTTCAACACCTCAACACGTGTTTCAATCACCAAGTGATCATCTTCAAGAGGAACATTGAACTTCCGCTTCCCCTTGGGGATGATCACTTGGCGATTGAACACGTGTCGAAGTGTTGAAAATAACGGTTTGGTTCTGGGATAAAACTCACACTTCCCACACTCCCCACACTGTAGGTTAATGGACTGACACCCATCAGAAAAAACTACTCCCCTGGCTAATACGACGAAGTTATTCCTGCATATGCTGTTGGTGATACAACTGCCGCAATAGATTTTCAATTATTGGAACACACTTGCAAAACGGTTTCAGGCTGTTTGGCCACTCGTCAGTGCAAGATAGTGTCTGTCATCAACATAAAGTCGATGATAATATTGAAAATCGAATTAGTTGAAGCGGACAACTAACAACAGGTTTGACATCGTCTTCGATTTGGAAGATTCATTGTAAGTGATTTCTCACTATGAAAAGCAGAAATTAATTTCGTTTGATCGATACGACAAACAGTAATATAGCAACAGGAATTCCAGCGCAAAATCCCATGTATTTTCTTATGGCGCTTCATTCTGGACCTTTTTGGACCTCAGGCCCAGTTCACACGGAGGTCCATTCTGTGTGAATTGGGCCTTAGTCTTTCAGAGCCCACCAGTAGATGAGTAACGAGACCACGAGCTCAAAATCCCATGTACCTTCTTATGGAGCTAAACTTTTTGCGATTTTTAGGTCAAACGAGAGTGGGAGAAAGAAATGTGTGACTCAATCGATGAAGGATGGAATGAGTATCGGAGAGAATCATAGAGCGTGGGCTCCCTTGAAACTCCACCCCCCAATTCGGGCCCTCTTAGTACTCCGCATCACCCCTTGTCACGTACCAGTCACGTGGTCCTAATTAAAAAAAGTTTATCGACAGGTCGTCGGCGTGGTAGACGTTGCCCTTAACCTCGACACCAACGTGGAATATTGAAAGTAATTGTGAATTGTTGATATTTATAGCGGTTGTTTTGTCGGGACTGCAATTGACTCATTTTCTATACTTGGATAAACTGTTTGGAATTCCGTAGATTTTTATGGAAATTGTAACGTCATTTCCATGTAGAAGATAAGCAAATATCCTTAGATTTGAGAAAGAATTGATGTTTCATATAAAGGTGTTTGTTTGTAAGAGCGGGAGACACACGTTTGAGGTAATTGACGCAAAGAGAGATGGTGATGGTATCGGTGTTGTCGATTCTGATATAAATCGTTGTTTATGCGGTGATGTATCATTGCCGGTTTCAAAATGGAGCATGAATAGTTAGGAATACGACTCGATAAAAATTGTATATTGGAAGCGCGGAAGTGATATATTGATAAAGATGAATGATGAATCAGATTTCAGAAAAAAAATGACAGTTCAACAATTCAACGTGCGGTACCTCAATGTGTACAGAGAGTCTCAAAGTACATCATTTAAGGAAATGAAACATGTCGGTTCAACGGGAGTGTAGTGTTTCAACGTGCGATCCCAATGAGAAACCTATATATCTATTCGAAAGTGTCGGGGAGTTACGTGTTGTGGAGTTAACGTTCGAAGGTGGGGGCAATGGGGGAGCGAAGTAGTCGAAAAGGACATTTCAGTATACGTTGTTTCGCGTGCGTTTTGATCCTTTTGCGTACGTTCATTCGTTATCGTTTCATCGTCATTGTCGTAGCCATTTTCGTCTCATATTTCGAAATTTGTATGAGAAACATATTTGAAGTTGTAGAAATCTGGAGAAAAAATATGAAAATTTTATTATCCACCTTTGACATATCTTTACGTTTCATGCAAAATGAAACACATCCGGTAATGAAAAAAATCATCGTATACTAAAACATATTGAAATCTATCGCGGCAGTTATATCGTCAACAGCATATGCAGAAATAACTTCAGTGGAGAATCCTATTCTGACACCTGTCGGATGTAATCCAACTCTTTCGTGACCTGAACGAATTGTTCTTTTATATGATTTGATTTATAGCCAGTCTCCAAGTATTCCCACTGACCACATGTGAAAAATGATTTTATTCTTAATCACTTCATGTCAGTATCTGAAAAATTACATCTAAAAACAGATATTTCCACCTACAGAAGGGGTTAAATATTTTGACAAATATTTGAACTCGAATCCCAACTAGTGTTTTTCAATGGAGGATACTTTGTTGAGAGTGGGTCAAATTGAATATGCATAGCTATCCATTCATTTTGCTACGGCTTAATGTTATTTTGCACGCAATATCATGTTGCTAGTCAGAGTAAGTAGTAACAGCTTCAGTAGTTGAAAATGATAAGTGGTTGAAAATCGATTTGTCCTGTCAACCAATTTTCAAATACGGCAACTTAATTTCTCTGTCAATTACTTGCACATGCATCAGAAAATCACTATAATTCCTCGACATGAATCGTTTCATTTTGAAAATGTCATAATTCATTATAGTAAGTCAACTGATGAAGAAAAGAGAATTGAAACTTTCTGTATTTTTCACCACTTTCATTTGTAACTAACGTTACTGCAGTTTCGTCCTATAAGGACATTTTCAAACTTATATAATGTTTGTATGAGTTTGAAAATGTCCTTGTGGGACGAAACTGCTTTAACGTTAGTAACAAATATAAGTAAAAACCATAGGAAGTTTCCATTTTCTTTTCTTCATTATGATTTCCTACCACATAGTAACGGCTACATCCATCAATTCATTGTAAGTCAACTGAATTCAAACATATCAGTAGTGTCACGAAGTGACACTACTGTAGATGAGTGTTAATATAGGAACTTGAGTTCTTGTATGGGTCTTCAATCGTTTTATAGTGGTGTCATTATAGCATGCGCTCAATTTTTCACCGTTATATTAGGTTGTTTCAGAAGTTTTGTTCGTTTTGATGTCATGATGATATTTTTGTAGCAATGATATTATTATCAAATGCTCTGTTCGACGGTGGTTTGCAAAATTCCGTTTCGGATATTTCTGCTTCAAAGATGAGCCACGAAGTGGTGGATCTACAGTTTTCTAGAACCTATTGGAGACTGATCCATCACAAATTGTACGTGGGATAGTGGAAGAACTGGGCGTCAGCTCCCATACAGTTTTTGATGATTAAAAACGTATTTGGTGAGTCAAATAATTCGAAAAGTAAGTGCCCAACAGTCTGTACGATCAACAGAAATCGTCCCGTTTCGAAATCTGTTTTTCTTCTTGCGCGACCGAAATGATCTACTTCTGGATCCTCTACGACAACAGAAGAGGTTCAGGATAGTTGAAAGACACCGATGAACCACCCAGACATTTTCCAAAGGCGAATACTCACCAAAAAAAAACATGATCACCGTATGGTGGTCAGCAGCTGATGGAATTCGCCATAACTTTCTTCAACCGGGTTAAACAGCACGATGGAATGTTTCGAAAAATGTGTCAACAGCAGCCACCACTGGTCAACGAAAGAGGTGAGATCCTGCTCAAACGCCCGTTCGCGTCCGCACGTTTCACTAATTATTGTCCGAAAATTTATCGAATTGAGAGTCGACGTTTTTCCTTACCCACCATACTTCCCAGACCTCTTGCCAAGTGACTATCGTGCTTTCAAGCACTTATTTCCATTGAATTGAATAAGCATTCACTGAGATATCACAGTTTGAAGTAGACTCATGTAAATGGACAAAACCTGAACACCAAAGTAAGCATTTCGCTCCTACGAAAACCTAACGGTTCCTTGTGTTCTACAGACATCGATTCAGCAGAGATTTTGAACGATTATTCCACAAGCTCTTCCACGGTTGAGCCGCGAGATGACCAATTACCAAAAATTATAGCAGAACGACTACGTGATAATCTGAATAATGTGAGGTTTACTTCGGAAAAAATTAAAAATCATTTATTGAACATTAAATCGAATTCACCTTCTGGTTTGGATGGAATGATCCCCTTTTTCCTCAAAAAGTTTGCCGAAACTCTCCGTTGTCAACAATCATGTCAGTCTCTTTCGCAAAATCTCGCATCTCACGGGCATGGAAGAAGGCATCTGTCACCGGTATTTTCAAAAAAGGCGATAAACTCAATCCAATTAACAACAGGCCCATTAGTCTTTTATCCGTACCTTCCAAAGTAATGGAATCCATCACCGTAGAAGATAAGTCAGAATTTTTAACAAAAAACGCAATCATACCACCAGATAACATGGTTTCGTCAAAGGTAGATCAACCACCAGCAATCTACTACAATGCATGAACGATTGGACGACAGCTTACGATAGGAAAATACCGACAGATATCGTTTATCTTGACTTTGCCAAGGCTTTCGGCAGAGTCCCAGTGAGGAGGCTAATGCACTAAATGCACTAAACCTATGGATTGAAAATTACATGACAGATAGAACTTTCACGATCGAAGTGAGTCGTACTTCATCAAGGAAAGAACGATCCACTCCATACGTACACAATAAGCGGTCATTTGTTACGTACAGTGTCCTCACATGTAGACTTGGGAGTGACTATTAATACTGACTTAACTTGGTCCGAACTCACAATATCCACATGCAAACGCGCAAACACACTGATTTACCTCATCCGCAAAACGTTCCTCCATCTATCATATTCCATAAAACTCTACAAAACCAACGTTCGTTTAATTATGGAGTATGCAGGTCCAGTGTGGTGTCCTGTTGTGGTGCGCGATTGGGACTTGTTGGAAAATGTACAGCGTCGAGCCACACGCATGACTTTTGGTGAAGTGCGTCCAACCTATCCCGAAAAACTGAGGACGGCACAATTGCTAGCTTTTGACCAACGTCGACTCCGTGGGGACCTCATCATATCTTTCCGTGTAGCTAAGTATAACTATGCTAATCAGAAAGAACTTTTTGTTTTCAACAATGATTCGCGGTTACGTGGTCACACACTCATATTAAAAAAGGAAACATTCGCAACGAGGCAGATACAATATTTTTTGGTGGATCGTATTTTCGAAACATGGAATAACTTACCCAACGATGTTATGAATGCCGACTCAGTGAACAGTTTCAAAAACAAAATCGACACTTGCTTTTTTGCTTAACGCCTCTATGCATATATTAATTATTTTTCTTTTTTTCCTGCATGCATTGTATTAAACTGTTGATATTCTTCGTTTTCAGGCTGACATAGGACTCCGTCCTCACCCTTTATTTATGTGTAATAATAATAATAAAAAACCTTTCGAAACAATCCAATAACATGATGGTAATCATATTATGGATATTTGATATGAACTCAAACTGTATGAATAATAAATTAATAAAAAATAATTTTTGAAATAACAAATAATTGGTGAAAAAATATAAATTGAAGTGCTTCTATTGAATAATAACTTGAAAAAATAATGAAATTGGGTCATCTTCTGCCGGTGACTAACTTGTGAAATGTTATTATTTTTTTTGAGGTAAGTTCACAATCATCACAAAATACCTACAGTTGAAACCCTCATTTTTATTTCAAATTTACTTATAAATTGCAAAGCACTAGCAATGAAAATTACAAGAACTGTTGTGCAATTATAAAAAACTAGGCTGGAGTAACGATCAGAGAAAACAAATTTCAAGTTAGTAGGCTGCGGTCGAATGTAACTTGTACCAAACGTTACGTTTTATTCCACGGCAGACATCATCCAGACGTCTCTGCAAAGACTGACACTTCGAAACTGTCGTTACAGGGACATCAAAATATACTCTTCGTCCATGCAGTCAATGCACATTACTGATGATGCCTGCCGCATACGAAACGTTAAGTAAATACTTCAATCAAATATGTCCCAACATCCCGGATTTTGTTTTCTCTAACGTTGGATCACATGTTATCACTTGAACAATTTATTTTTGTTGGTCTTCCTTCTCTCGGAAAAGACCTCACGTTATATCTGTCTGTTATAAAATATGTTTTTCTGTTAATCAGCTGTCGCCCCCATACGAACGACAACTCTCAGGAGTTGAGAAACTTGTGCGAGCTAATGACTAACAAGTTCTTACCTTTTAACGTGTGATTCCTAACACGGTTGCAGAATCATTCCAGTTTCAACAAGATGAATTCTCTCGGGAATCGAACCCACGATCTTCCGATCGTGAGTCGGGCGCTCTACCACCGCGGCCAATTCCACAACATGTTATAACTTATTCTATATACTAATAACAGTGAGACCCAGAATCAGAAAAAGTGCGAATGAGAATTGAACCAGATGTAAACATTTAATTCTATTGCACCTAGTTCAGTTTTTCAACACTTACTTACCTTATCTAATTCAGTTTTTGGTCCTATTCCTGACAATAGAAGTATTTGGGGGCTGTTGAGAGCACCTGCAGCTAGAATAACTTCTTTTTTAACTCGAACAGAAAATAACTTGTCCTGATAAAGAAACTCAATTCCTTGAATGGTTTTCTTTTCTCCGGTTTTGTTAACTATGATTTTGGTCGCTGTTGAATTGAGCATGATGTGTAGATTTGGTCTGAATCTTGCCGGGCGTAAATATGCTTTGGCACTACTAAGACGGACTCCATTTCTAAAATATAAGAGCATTTAAAATTTCAATCAGTTTCATATTGAGTTCACATATTCAAGACAACATGAATGATCTTGTATTCTTTTCCACTTTCTTGAAACTGCTTTATCACGATTCAAGTAGCAAGTGAAAAATGATTACTAAAGATAGATAAAAATCACTTTCGGCCTAGATTTCAACAACACATTCAAACAAGATGTCACCATTCTTTTTCTTTATATTTCGTGGACCTTTTTTCTACATACACGTTTCAACATATAAGTTTCTTAAAATTCCACTACCTCACTGGTATTCTCTAAGGCAAGACATTTGCCTTACAGATTCTTTCATTTCAAATCATTTTATATTGAATCAGACAATGGACGTCCGAACTGATGAAACACACCACGAAACATTGTCAACCACCTTCCAACAAAGGATGACAGTGTTCCATGTAAGTGAAATCTCTTCTTTTTTTAGTATATTGCGTAAGAATCCTATGAATGATCTGATTCAACTCCATAACGGAATACAAACTGAGTAGAGAAAAGTTTTTCTTGTATGATTTGGTGTTTATATAAAAGTATTTGTTTCGAACGAATTTTTCTTTTGTGTTACTAAAGGTTTATATGAAAGTAACTGTTTCAGGAAGGCTTTTTCTCTCACTTCGCGTCTGAAAGTTACTTCTTCGCATGATCTACACACCTTCAGTTACTTCTTTTGGAATTGAATGCTTCCTTCCTTTCTTTGGAAGGTTCCCACATTTTTTTTGTATCAAGATGGAGTAGTAGAAAGCCAAAAACTCTCTTTCACAAAAAAGTTATCTCTTTCAAAAAAATAAAACCCCTTCAATTCAAATAAATTCATATGAAATTAGTTGTTTTGAAAGTACTCTTTTCAGTTTATTCAAAAAACTATCTTCTATGCATGATCCACACATCTTTGTGAAGACCTTATTTTGAACCTAATTGATTATATTTCTCAGAGATGAAGAAGTGAATATTCAAAATGATGTCCATCATTACATTACATATTATACATTATTATGACGTTTTTCCTGAAATTGTCATCACATATTCCATGTCCTTTCCAAAATGTGAATATGATTCAGACTATGTTATGTTTGAACAATGCATTGAAAAACTTTCATGGTACCATCAATAATATGTCTATCATTCCTACAATATACAGAGAAAAAATATGCTGGAGATTTTTCATATCCCCTGATTCCTTAGGAAATATTCTACAGCATTTCTCATTCCAGGATTCTGGGATGAAATTAGTCATGACTTGTTAATTGACTATAAATGTGACTAACTATAACTATTCAATAGAAGCTTTAGGCTTTCTACTTTCACTTCAGGACAGTTTTGATGATCCCAGCAAAACTGATCTTTCCTCTGGAACCCATTCTTTGATCTTTTGTTGTTCAGTTCCACTTATTCCGAATCTACTGCTGAATCTCTACATATCATCTGAAACAAAATTGACCTTTTGAAAATTCCTTCTAATCTGATCCCTATATCCAATTATGATAATGATTTTTCAATTCAGGATTTGGTCATTTTTCTCTCAGATTGTTTCAAAAAATTGTCTTGTTCTTTTATTCATTCTTCAGTTTCTGTTTTGTTGGATACAGTCCAACTTTATTGCTTTAGCAGGATACTTCATATTGATGGATAGAAGCTCATGAAATTAGTTTCTTGCTTTCTCCCCATTTCATCAATTATCAAATATATGATTCTATGAATAGCAGAAGTGTATTCATATCGGAAACAATTTTCATTCCTGCATACCAACTCACCTGTTCATATGTCAGGTAATATCTCAGCTCCTGATGTATCAAGTTTCTAGAAATATTTCATAAATGTTCGGGAAAGAAAAATATCATGCGAGGCTCCTTTCAGAGAAGAACTCTGGAAATGGAGCTAACTTTCCACCGAGTCAGTATGAATAAATAAAACTGGTTTAATTCTCAGTGACTCGAAAAAGTTCGAGATTTTTCATGAAAACCTGCTTTTATTATGCAAATATGTCAGCGAGTTTTCCGAGATATTGTTGAAAAATTATTTTCCAGTTTACTGTAATACCTAGTTTATGATAATTGAGAACTGCAATGAATGTGATTCGCAGAAAAGCTAACTTGAGGCAAAAACTCAATAGGAAAGGTGAAAACAATAGTCAAAATGAACTGAAAATTTTCCTCTCAGATACTAAAATCATTTTCACGGAATCAGAGAAACGGAGAATCACCAACATGAACCCCTCTTGCCCTTAACTATATGGCCTGATAAAAACACATAAAAAGGATAACCCCATAAGACCGGTAGTTTCGTATATGAATAGTCAGGTAAGAGAATTAGAAATAATAGCAGCCTACAATTCAATGTTGCAGAGAGCATTCTCACTGCTTTTGTCTGCTGACAATCTAGCTAGGTAAATTGATATAATCACACAGATAGGTCATAATAATGGTTTCAACGCAGATACTACCCAGAAGTTAGTCAGAAAACAGAGCGGTGAACTCACTCACACACAAGTTCTCGAATCTAAACGATACGGAAATTTTGCACTATGCAAGGAAGGGTTACAAACTCAATTATTCAAAATCCTTGGAAATTCACAAGCATAAACATTGCGGGTGCAACCTGTTAAATGATCAAATCGATTTAGTTTACTCAACGGTTTTCAAATTAGCACATCCGCATTGTAAATTGTAATGGGCTAATGGGCTAATGTAATAAACCATTGTTAGTTCAATGTATAAGTTTGAAAATGTCCTCATAGAAACTGCAGTGACGTTAGTTACAATTGAAAGTGGTGAAAAAAATAGAAAGTTTTAATATTCTTTCCTTCACTATGATTTCCTATCACGTGATAACGGCTACATCCATCAATTTATTAAAAAATGAAGCATGTTTTATGAAACTTCAAACCAAAAAGAGAAAAAGGTTAATTGAGAATTAAATGGTGACTGGCGAAAATTAAAAATCCAATGAGTTTGATGACAGTCTTGGGAAAGATGCATCGCTCTAAAAAAAAAACCGAATCAAAATTTCGAATACTTCTTTCGGTTGTTTACATTTGGCAGTAGAATAATTTTCTTTTCATTACTATGATTTCCTATCAAGAGAAAACGGTTAATTGAAAATTCAATGGTGACCGGCGAAAATTAAAAATCCAATGAGTTTGATGACAGTCTTGGGAAAGATGCATCGCTCTAAAAAAAAAACCGAATCAAAATTTCGAATACGTTTTTCGGTTGTTTACATTTGGCAACATTATCTATAAGTAGGATCAAATCATATTTCCAAATTCAAAAAACTCTCACCTGGTGTTGGACTGTGCAATGGTGAATCCAGAGAAATCTTTTCCGTTCAGATCCGTTGTCGTTTTATATCCGATTTCTTCGGCTGCCTTGAGAATGTCATGAGCCATTTGGGGTTGATCGTTGAATCTGGTTGTGGTTAGAGGTCCTCCCGTTCCGTGATACTTCGCCTCGACTAACGTTCCGATGTCCTTGTTGTCCTCGAATCGCTTGAACACTGGAAGGACGTCTTTGTAGCTCCATCCTTCGTTACCCGCTGCAGCCCAGTTGTCGTAATCTGAAATTTATTCGTAAATTTGATGAATCATTACTGACTTTTTACACAATAGAACTGAAAACAACTGTCTTTGAGACTTAATGCGCGTGTAGCTAGCAAAGTTGGTCATGAGAAGATAGCTAAAACAGATTCAGTTATTTCTAGATCTACCTTCTCTCCACATTTTTCTGGAAAGAGAGGCTAGATGGACTGCATACAGACTTGTGCACATTGCTAATTGCACAAATCAATTCAATGCAGAGTGCAACAGACTGTTGGTTGACATTGGAAGTCATAGCATTCTGGAAGTGACCTCTGACTTTATGCCTCCAACTGTCAACTACGAACTACCTCATGAAGTACTATTCCCGAGTAGAAAGGACCACTCTGGGAGAAGGAAATATTAAGAGCAAATAGTTGTTGGTTCACAGATGATTCAAAAACACCTTTCGGTTCTGGTGCAGGTGTTTTCAGTTGTAGACCCAGGACAGAGTTATCTACCTGCCTAGGAACTTATGCCAATGTATTTCAAGCGGAAATTTACGCTATCGATTTGTGTGCTGAGAGATTGGATAAATCCAACCTCACTCACAAGTCAATAAAAATATTCTCGGACAGTCAAGCGGCGTTGGTAGCTTTTGACTCCTTCTGAGCAACATCTAAATTGGTAGCAAACAGATTGTCTCTGGTATGGATTCTTGGCCATACTGGCCTGGAAGGCAATGAGGTTGCGGAATATCTTGCAAAGGAGGGTGCTGCAATCGGCTTCATTTGACCAGAACCTGTCATTGGCTTCGCTTTGGGCTTTGCCAAACAAACACTGAACACCTGGATGGCAAGAAGATTTATGGACTTCTGGCAGAATCTTCCAGGATTGGCTCACTCCAAGGCATTCATTCGCCCTTCGAAGCTTGATTCCATACAGTTGTTAGACTACAGTAGGGATGAAATATGATGTGTAACAGGCCTTCTTACAGGACACTATCATTTGAATCATCATACGCAGAGACTTGGACTGTCGGAAGACAGTGTGTGTTGAGTCTGTCTAGAAAATGATGAAACAGCAGAGCATATGCTTTGTGCCTGCCCCGCTGGGGACCGAATCAGGTTCTTTGAGTTCAGCATATCCGTACTCTTACCATCTAACCTGAAAAACCACTCACCATACAGACTAATCCGCTTCGTTCAGAAGCTGGGTTCATTTGGCCGAGTATGAATAGGTGTGAGCCACAATAAACCCTTGTGGGTTGCGATAGAGGGTCCTGTAGATCCACTCACTTTAGACCTATCTACCTAGAGTTGATTTTTCAGTGTCATTCATCAGTACCAGAAAATATGCAACTTTGCCATGGTTCAATCTGTTTTGTCTCTCTAACCTTTCACGAGCTCTTCACTAATATATTGGAATTTGAATAACGCTGTATATTTTTTCTGTTCGTGGAATGGAGGGACAGTATAGAAAATCGGAAATCAAAAGAGTAATGAAATTGGTTAATTATGAAAAGTATTGCTCTGTTTCAGAAAATATTCGAATGGCAGGCATTTGAATATGGTTTTGGATGGACGTGTCTTCCAAAGCCTACTTGATCAAAGTGTGCGTTTCGAAGTCTACATGAAAAAACCTGAAAGCTCTGTATTTCAAAGATAACTAGCAAAATATTAAGTGTACAACATTTCTGAAAAGGCAATTTGGAGCTCTATTGAAATATGCAGAAATATGCAGGGTGTCTAATAATTGAAAAATAGTTTTTCATCAATAATTATCGATATCTCATTTGAAAAAATTTGTTTTCAACACCGATATGCGATTTTCATGATTTAATGATGGAGTTTGTCATAAAATTTTTCTCTCAGACACAGCCATCAGTTTTCATCCATCTTTTTTGAAAACAAGAGCTTTTTTTTAAAAGTGTCCAATTTGGTCCACTGTGTACAATATTTTTGAGACGTTTTACTTCCTGAATCAAACGGAACGTGTAGAAAAAAAATTGTTCAAATATATTGTGTGTAAATAAGGTGTGTATCTTTTTATAAGCTATTTTATCTTGTTCAAGTACGCAATAATTAAATAAAATTTATCGACCCTGACAATGCATGTCAGTGAAAATTTTAAAATGCAGCCAAACTTCCTTATAATACTGGTTTTTGGCGATTAGCGATAATTAGTGTGAGAAACCTGATGCAAGTGACCTTTCACATACCAGTATTCACAATAATTAAAAGAATCATAATAATAATGGTTATTTTGGAGAAACTACAGAGTTGCATAAAAAAATTATTATTGATGCCTTTCAGAAAGTTAATAGAAATGATCGAATCTAATTTGTTGACTATGTATTTGTTACTGACCTTGAGGAGTTCCTCGAGTATACATCATGCCGTTTATGACACTGCACCCCCCTAGAACTTTGCCCCTTGGCCATGAACAACGTTTTTCCGGGAAACCCTGGCATGCGACTTTTTCAGGTTCTGTCTTGTAGTTCCAGTCGATGTACTTGTTGCCGTGGTAGCTGATGACCATTGATGGTACCTATAGAGAGCAATGCTTTGAACACTGAGCTTCATAATTATATTGGTTTTGGTTATTCGAAAATAATATTACATGAGTAGTTGATACGAAGTGAACTACGGAGGAACGAAAAAAAATGTCTATATATAAAAATTTATAGTTGGTTTTGCAAATCTACATGATTTCATACATTTATATCTCTCTCCGAAACATTCTGACCTCTGTTGAAGTATTAGTACATGGAATGTTTTTTCCCACTTGGAACCTTGTTCACGAGTTGGAGCTGTTACTACTTGACAATATTTCTTTCAGAGGAAGGTTTTAGCGTGGTATCAGCCAGGAAGTAGTTGTTTTCTGGTAGGAATTTACCGGAGCCTACTGTAAAGTAGGTGAATTTAACTCGAAATATTTATTTTCTTATTTTTCGAAAAGTACCACTGATCGATTATTATGCGTTTTTTCTATCTTTATTACTGGGTTTCAGACAGAGACCATTGTTGACTTCAAAATTCGCGAAAAATTCGATAACTTCACAATTCGCAAGAACTCTGTTGACTTCAAAATTTGCACGAATTCTCCGTTATCCAAACAGTTTGGGATGCTCATGTATTTCAACGGATTTCCTATGAAGTCGTACAAACTATGCTTGTGTGCTTGTATTTTGATGACGATACTGCATTTGGAAACTGTTTAAACGTCTCCTCACGTCACCAATTACAAACTGATCAACTACGCAATACTATGAGATCAATGAAGGACAAAGAAAACCTCTGAAATGTTCTGCAATTCACAAGATTCCATTATGTGCATCATCACAGACGACTTCCTTGTGAAACCACTGAGACTCATGAACAACCCAATAAAGTCAACAATGAAAAAGAAGTTTCAAGAATTAATCAAACTCGATATTCAGTAATCATGAAGGTCAGAAATGGAATAGAATATAATGAAAAATGATAATTGAAACTTTCTATGTTTTTACTACTTATATTTGTAACTAACGTTACTGCAGTTTCGTCCTATGAGGACATTTTCAAAGTTTCACATTAAACTTTGAAAATGTCCTTGTAGGACTGAACTGCAGTAACGTTAGTTGAAGATAAAAGTGGTATAAAACATAGAAAGTTCGAATTCTCATTTTTCATGATGATTTCCTACCACGTAGCAACGGTTACTTCCATCAATTCATCGACTGGAATATAACTCCAATCGACAGCACAACACTTATCAACATCGTGGAACAATTCGATAAATCTTGCAGAAGTGAGGAACAATCATGAGTTACCATCACTCATGAATGATCTCCACACATACCAGTGTGGTAAACGTACGGTACGGTAAACACCATTGTGATCACAAAGACCACACTTACCCAGTATCCTAGCGGCCATCAATCTTTCTTTCCAACTATCAGGTAAACTGCAAGAGGGACTACAACAAAAAAGTAACGATAAGGTTTGGCACGCGAGCTTTACCTGAAAGCTCATCTATATAAATCTTATGACTCACTTCAGGCTGACTTCTTTCTGTATCATGAACTGATAAATCCCTCTCAGGGTTGATATCTCTCTGTTCATTCCACACCTTCTAACTGTCGATTGGGAAACCAATCTACGGGACACCCAGAGTCCGGAAGAGAGCCAATCTCCTAAAATCACTGTGAGAAAGTTTCGAAAGATGTGTCAGTGAAACACTACCTCATACTCGTATACATGAAATGTTCATGAGAACGACCATGAACTTTATAACCATAACTTACTGTGCGATCTATCCAAAACAATCTTACCATATATTAACAACCGGTGAAAGAATTCTCCACAACGTCCATAATCGATAGCGTTAAAATTACTTCAACCACCACAAGTTTCGGGATTTTCGAATTATGTACGTCCACCAGAACATCTACAGCACCAACATTGCTGCAATCGATACTTTGACCACTCCCTGGAAGCCATGCAAAATTGCACAGCCATCAGGATACCAAGAAAGACGTTCCCTTAACTTCCAGTCAGACTATAGAAGTACTGCGGAGTATCCCGCTGGCGCTTAGGGACTGGGCATACCCATAGCCTGGAGCCACATCAGAATTCAAATCATCTCCTGGCCATATCAGATACAAACTCCGCTCACAACCAAACCCGTCTATGTACCTGGACTGGTTACATAGCAAAGTTCACCTGTCTGGTAAACATAGTTGATAATAAATGCAAGACTGTCATTCTTCCATTGGATATAAAGTTCAATTCAGTTCAAAGAATATGAAACTATTTTCAGAATTCGATAGAAATAGGAAAGGAATCATTTTTCGCAGTCAAATCTTCATTGAGGTATCACTAGAAGTTTCCGTGATAAAATTTGAAGAATGACCCTCCTGCTCGAAAGTTAAAGGTTTTGCAATTGTTTCCTGATGAAATTGTGCTGACTTGATTCGACGTTTACGGGAACTTCTAGTGTGGCAGTTCTACCTTGAAAAGTATCTCTAGATTGCGAAGGCTCTGGAAAGCCACAGAGAACCTTTTTAATAATCGACAGTTCAAACTATTTTCGAATATAAGTTATTCAACAGTTTGAATTCAAATTATTTTATTAGATATTCGTCTTCATTTGGTAAGAATTCTATCAATATTACGAGTATTTCCTAAAATATTACAATGATTATTCAAAATAATGAATATTACATTTACCGAGAAACCTTTCATTTGTTTTACAAAAACTACTCAGGTTGTGAAATTCAAATTTACCGGACAACGTATTGTTGTATATTAAAGCATTGTACGTGATTATGACATTCACGAGCGTTTGGAAATGATCAAAGTAATGTTTCGCGTGGAAAACCGTTTAACGTTAAAAAAATTTCAGCCTTTGATGAAGGAATTCAGGTTTTCTAGAAATTATTGCTTTGTGAATGTTCGTTAACATATGTGAGGTTTCGAGTGTATTCAGTCTGAGTTATCCTGAGTGTTTCATTCTATTTGAGGTACTGTCGTATTCACGAATTTCGTAAGGTGTCGTTCCCACTGGAGCGATACGATAATCGATGCAACATGAGAAATCATTTATTGCCCGATGCAACTTTCATCCTCGCAATACTCCAGTACACACTGGAGCGATACGAAAGCCTACAGAATAAGCAACGGAGCAGTTGTTTTCATCAGTCGTCATGAGATCCTCAGAGGAGGATGCTGTTTTTGCTAGAAAATACTGGGTACAACCATAAACAGAGTTCGGCAGTAGTTTCCCGTGAACTCTCCCAACATGAGCAGAAATTCAGATAGTTTTATAGAATGAGCTCAAATAGTTACCATGTTTTATTGAGATTGGTGTCAAGGGGACAGGAGAAGCATGGGTTCTGCTCCACCAATTTCACGAAGAAAATAGAGGATTGCACGTCTTCTTGCTGACCCGACATGAACATGTCGAACGATATTGCGCCTTTCTTTCGTTCAAGCGACCCGTATTCCATTAGTTGGCAGCACAGTGTCAGACGGTACCTATGAAAATGAACAAGGAAAAATTGAGTTGCTTATTGAGGCAGGCTCTAGAATATCCAGAAGTTCTGAAAATGTGCTTGGAGTCATTCAGAAATACTGGAAAAAATTCTCCTCGTATTCTTTCAGGTAGTTGAAAAAATTATGAAACTCCCAGATTTACCCTCTTTTGATTAATGGGATGGACCCACAACATTCTTTTTTGTGACTATTTGCTTTTACATTCAATCAATAATGCGGCCACAATAATTACGATTTCTTCGTCAGAACTGCTACTGATAGACATGTTTTTGTCACCGCTCGATGTCAATTGAAATTTCCTTGAAATTGAACAAACAGGACCTTCAGTATGCTGGTTGTAGCTGGACAAGTGGGCGATTCTACCACCCGTCGCCATCAAGCGACGGAAAGGGCCAACTTTGCTGTGCCAGACAAGTGGGCGACAAGCTTTATGAGTGATTGGTGTCGAATCAGGATCGGGTTGCTTGTCGAATCACCTGTTGTATCGTATCGCTCCAGTGGGAACCGCGCCTAAGTAAGTCGCAGACACGACTTATGGATTCGCTGCAACCGGTGAGCACAAACGCTGGAATATGTACAGTATCGTGATGAAAAATCGTTAAGTTTTGTGAACATTATTTTCTGTTGGGTTATAACTGTCTGAGTGTTGTCAAAAGTCAGTGACGTGCTTAGAGAACCTTGAATCGGAAGCAAAATAAAATCCAAAATTTTCACTTTCATTTACCACTGACAGATTATCTTCACAGATGAATGCTTGGAAAAGTAAATAAGCAGAACTTGTTAGATGAAAATTTCCAGTGATTTGTGCTAAACTCTTCCAGATATTTGTTCATCAGCCCTAATGAAACTATAAGATAATATCTTTCAGAACATTGGAAGGAGTATATTTTAGGAGACATTGACTTTTTGAAATTGATTGCTTTCTTCCTTTCTTTGGAAAATTCCCATAATATTTTGTAGAAAGATGGAGAAGTAGAAAACGAAACCTTTTTTTTTCTTACATATATCTTTATTCAACCTGGTTCCAGTGAGTACGAAAATATAAATATTTTCTGATTTAATGTGATCTTCCAGCTATCTTCAACTGTCTTACATTCAAATGGAAAAATATTGATGACTTCATGAATCTACATGATATTGAACAAATAACTGAACAATAACGGAAAACTCAAGTGATGAGATATCAATAAATAATTTTCAATAATGATAAACAGGATTAGTACAGGCTATTGATCCAATAGTAGGTTATCATGCTGTAGTTTCATTTCTGGATTTCATGTTCATTGTTGAGATATATCTTTGAGATGAGTTGAAAGGGACATATTTTCAGGAGAGACTAATTTTTGGTAAAGAAATGTTTTGGTTTTCTACTTTTGCATTTTCATACAAAAAATGTTAAAAGAAAGAAAGCAGATAATTCCAAAATATACTTTTCACGAGATGTAGAAAAGAGTAAATTCAATTAAATATTTTCAGATTTAATGTGATCTTCCAGCTATCTTCAACTGTCTT